CCCCCCCCTTTTAAATTTTCAATTACAGTTGACATTCAATATTATATTAATTTCAGGAGTACAACATAGTGGTTAGACATTTATATAATTTAAAAAATGATCCCTCTGACTAATCTAGTACCCACCTGGCATTATACATAGTTATTGCCACATTATTGACTATATTCCCTATGCTTTACTTTACTTCCCTGTGACTATTTTGTAGCTACCAATTTGTACTTCTTAATACCTTCACCCTTTTTCACCCTGCCCCCCAAACCCTTCATGTCATCTCCCCAACAAATCTAGTACCCATCTGACACCATACATAGTTATTATAATATTATTGACTATATTCTTATGCTATACCCTACATCCCCATGACTACTTTGTAACAACCAATTTGTACTTCTTAATCCCTTTCCCCCTTTTCACCCACATTCCCAAACCCCCTCCCATCTGGCAACCATCAAAATGTTTTCTGTATCTATGAGTTTGTTTCTGGTTTGTTTGTTTTCTAGATTCCACATATAAGCGAAATCACATTGCATCTGTCTTTCTCTGTCTGACATACTCTAGTTAGCACAATACCCTCAATGTCCACCCATGCTGCTGCAGATGGCAAGAACCCATTACTTTTCATGTCCAAGCAATATTCTATTGTTTATATGTACCACCTCCTCTTTATCCATTCTTCCATTGACAGACACCCAGGCTGCCTCCGCATCTTGGCCATTGTAAAACAATGCTGCAATGAACATATAGATGCACACATCCCCTCGAGTAGTGTTTTGGATTTCTTTGGAAAAAATGCCCAGAAGTAAGATTACTGGGTTCTTCTTTGTCTCTTCTTATAGACTTTGTTTTAAAGTCTATTTTGTCTGGTATAAGTATGGCTACCCCAGCTTTTTGTTTGTTTGTTCATTTTTGTGAAATATCTTTTTCCGTCTCTTTACTTTCCATCTGTGTGTGTGTGTGTGTGTGTGTGTGTGTGTGTCTTTCAATCTGAAGTGATTCTCTTGTAGACAGCATATGTAAGCGTTTTGTTATCTATTCAACCCTCCTATATCTTTTGATTGGAGCATTTAATCCATTTACATTGAAATTAATTGTTGATAGATATATAGCTATTGTCATTTTATTATTTGTAATTTTGATCTTTTTCTTTCCACCTTAAAGAAGTCCCTCTAACATTCCTTGTAATACTAGTTTGGTAGTGATGAACTCCTTGAGTTTTTTCTTGGCTGGGAAGCTCTTTATCTCTCCTTTGATTTTTTNACAGAGCATGAAACCGCTGGCAGCTGGCTGCATGGGGTGAGACGACCAATAGTGGGTGAGGCTGGGAAGGAAGGAGGGGGAGGAAAACAAAGCAGAGAAAATGGGGTTCCCTTAAACGTGGCCAAGCGCGGCCAAGCATTTTGGTAATGCTTTACCTCAGTCACGATGGTGGGGGCACAGGAGTACGTGAGGCATTGTGGGAAGCAGAAAAGCAGACAATGTCCCATTGTGCTGGACAGCAGAGAGTCCACCCATCTTGGGAGAGCAGGTCTAAGGAAAGAAAAGATTTTATCTTTTTATATTCTAATTCTCCCCCCTCCCTGCCCCCCCATTAACGAACACAAGTTGGGAGGAGTTTAGTGAATGTTTAAGCTTATAATAGTAACTACTTCTTAGGGTAATTGCTAGTATTGAATAAAGTAATCCAACAGGGCTTACTTAGTATACAGTGCCTGCCCCAGAGTGCTCAAGGAATGTCGGCTATTGTTACTATTACTTTATTATTTACACTCAAGAAACAATTGTGTGTGTGTGTGTGTGGGGCTATAGTTAGGCACCAAATTGCATATAATCAAAGGAGTCCTTATAGTTGTGAGCAAGGAGATCTGACTTCTATTCTTGGTCCCACCCTTTGGTTTATTTTGGACAAGTTGCAGGCTCTCTCTGGGCCTCAATCTGTACAATGAGCATTTTGGATTAGATGTCCCCTCCATTCTGATATTCCATGGTGCAATAAGCCTCTGGGCCAAAGTGTGTTTGTTACAGGCATTTAGTTCTACAGGCAGCCAGGAAAAGGAAAGATGGAAAAAATATGGTTTGCTTTAGCTGGATAGGGAAAATCTGGGTAAGCCCCTGAGTCAGAGATCACATGGAGGAGGCATGAGGCCTTCCAGGCTTTGTGGTGCTGGATTGGGAAAACTTTTCCTCTCTTCCCTCAGGGCATCCTGTTTCTGGAAAAGACCCCAGTTCAGGATGAGTCCACTTTGGCTCGTGTGCCCCCCCTGGTGGTTAGATTTGAACCTGCAGGGTCCTGGTAAGCGAATGACGCCCCCCAAACCCATATTCCTGGGATTGCTTATCCCTGCTGTGGGAGGCAGGACCCACACTCTTAAGGCCACTAAGGGCCTTCCAGCCACGACACCAATGGCTGTTTTGAGTATTGTTTTCTCCTTGATGCTGCTGCCAACCATCCTTCTTCCTAGACACTTTTCCCTCAGTGTCTCTGGTGCTATACAATCTTGGTTCACTCCTTTCACTTCTAGAAAGTTCTTCATTGCTCCTCTTACTAAGCTCAAATGCCACCACTTCATGAAGCCTTCCTTCACTCCTCCGTGGATTACCTTGTTTAACTCTCTCACGCGTGACTCACTGAGCTCCATCATGATCTCTGTGCACAACCTGGTGGTGAGCTCCTCTAGAGTACACTTTCTCTCGACTAGTCTCTGTGTTCTCCATGGCAGCCAGTCCTCTCCTAGCCCAGAGGAGGCTCTCTGCACACATGTGTGGAAAAACTGCAAGGGAGTGGGTTTTCCTTAGGCTTTAGTTCTCTGCCCTCTGTGCCCTGCTCTCAGGTCTCTGACTGTGCACTCATCCCCTCTTCTTCCTCCCACCATTTCTTTTTTGAACTGACCTCTCTCTAGACCAGTGGTTCTCAACCTTCCTAATGCTGCGACCCCTTAATACAGTTCCTCATGTTGTGGTGACCTCCAACCATAAAATTATTTTCGTTGCTACTCTATAACTGTAATTTTGCTACTGTTATGAATCGTAATGTAAATATCGTTTTGTTTTCCGATGGTCTTAGGTGACCCCTGTGAAAGGGTCGTTTGACCCCCAAAGGGGTCGCAACCCATAGGTTGAGAACTGCTGCTCTAGACTCTTCATGATATCCTAGAACCTGTTGGGCATTTCCACTATAATGCCCTCTCCCTCCAGTATGCTCCCATCCTAATTCCTCAAATCTGTGACGATGTTACCTTACATGGCAAAGGGGATTTTGCACATGTGACTACATTACGGGTCTTGAGAATGGGAGGTTATCCTGGGTCATACTTGTGGGCCCAATGTCATCACAAGAGTCCTAATAAGAGGAGGCAGGAGGTCAGAGTCAGAGAAGGACATGTGAGGGTGGAAGCAGAGATTGGGGTGATGTGGGGTCACATGCCAAGGAACGCAGGCACTTTCCAGAAACTGGAAACAGCAAGGAAATGGGTTCTCCCTATAGCTGCCAAAAGGAACAAACGTACACTAATGACTCATTTTAGACTCTTGACTTTAAGAACTGTAAAATAATATGTTATTTTAAGCCACTAAATTTGTGGTAATTGGTACAGAAGCAATAGGAAACTAATATATTTATCTCAAAATAAACACCAAGACCAGAATTTATAATCTCCGAGGGCCTCCTTACACCCAAAGCTGACTTCCTTTCTCCTTAGCCCTCCCCCTTCTCCCATCAGCTAGCACCAAAACCTCATGTCACTTGTGACTCCTTCTTCCCTGGATCCCACACCTGCTTAGAGAATGTGGTTCTCGATTCCTGGTATTTCTTCCATCACTGCTGGCAGGTACTACGCAGGCTGTCCAATTCAAAGATAAGGAAGCAAGCCTAAGTCAGGAGATAGTGATTTAGTGGCAGACTAAAGATTAGATCTCAGGTCTTCTGATTCCAGCCCCGTGTTGGTTTCTCAGCTTTCATTCCTTCTGCCACCACCCGCGATGGGGGCCTTGTCTTTGTAACTCTTCCTCAGCTCAAACAACTGTCCTACCCTTCTTCCGGTCTCCCTGTCATTTGCCTGTTGAATTTGCACACGACTCACCATGGCTTAGGGCTTGGGCTGCTCTATTCTTGCTCATAACTTCTTTTCACTGCATTCAACCCACACACAGTCAATGTGGAGACCACCCATATAAAGTCTGGAGTTGATGAAGATTTAATGGAGAGGTGGACGAGGGAGGGGTGTAAACTCCCAGACTGGTGAACACCATTCCAAAAATACTT